TATTCCATAATGATATTTATTATGTGAATTATTCATTATGCATGATATTATTTTTATATTTTACTGTGGGAATCATTTTAATCTATTTCGAAGCCCAGCCCAAGCCTAAAAGACATAAATGTGTGTGTGTGTGTATATATATATATACCGGGTGGCCATAATTAAACTGACAGTGCTCACAGTGTTCTGTAGCGCGATCTATTTGCGAGAATGACGCCACACTTTGTAGGAAGATTAAACAAGATGGGGGACGAAGGATTCCGCAAAAAAAAACAAATTAGTTCCAAAAATCACCACTAGGGGAACGTTTGACGCTGTGTAATAGAAAATAGAGTGTTAACAAATGCAAATCAATATGGAAATTACCTTTTATTTTGCATTCAAATGAGGTTCAATGTGGCTGCCGTTGTTGTGGACCATATATTGCATTCTGTGCACAGTTTGCGCAACAGCAGAAAGTAACATGTCTGCAGGAATCTCCTGTACAGTCCGTGATATGTTATCCTTCAACGTAGCCAGGTCCTGGACCACTCCTTGATAGACCTTGGACTTAACGGTAACCCCATAGCCAAAAGTCACATGGGGTAAGATCAGGTGACCGAGGTGGCCATGCAGTTGGAAAGTAACGGCTAATGACTCTTTCTGTTGTGAATTTCTGTCGTAGCATCTTTTGCACCCATACAGCAATGTGTGGATGGGCTCCATCTTGCATGAAAATGATTTCCCCCGGGCATTGTCTTTGCTGAAGTGCGGGAATGACAAAGCTGTTCAATATGTGGCGATATTTCTCTCCGGTAACAGAACAGGTATCCGGTCCTGTCGGGGTAATGTTCTCATAGAAGAATGGACCTACGATAAATTCGGCTGTGAACCTACACCAAACAGTTACCTTTGGTGAATGTAAGGGAATTGCTGTGACTGCATATGGTGGTTTGTCATCCCAAATTTGGCAGTTTTGGTATTCACAGTTCCATTCAGGTACAAGTGGGCCTCGTCTCCCCATAAGATTTTCCACGGCCGAGCATTATCCACCTCCATTCTGGCAAGATAGGTGAGAGCAAACATCAGTCGCTTATCATGGTCGGTGTACAGTAACTCCTGTACACTTCTGAACTTGTACGGATAGAAGTTGATAATCTTTCGTAAGATTTTCCATACCGTACTGTAAGGCATATCCATATTCCGAGCTACTCCACGAGCGCTAGAGGTGGCAGCAATATTGTCTGGTCCTCTGTCGACAATCGCCGTGGCAACTGCTTCGATTGTATCCTGTGGTACAGGTTTTCGCCCTCTGTCTGACTGAACCTTCAGAGAACCTGTTTTCTCAAACATCGCAATATTGCTTTTATCCCATTAACTGACACAGGACTGTTACCTTTACGCATTTTTTTTGTGTGTTCTAAAAGGATGAAGAGTGGCTGACGCATTGCACTGGTTGAGGTAAAAGAATTTGACCAGTAACGCACGCTCGACTAAAGAAGGAGACATTGCACATAAACTTTCAATCCCATTGATTCGAAACGTAACGCATTGCCTTTTAAAACCCAAGCAGCTGGCACTGTGTGAATGGATGTAATGTGAAATTTGAATAAAGAACTTCTTCTGCTGCTCAGCATACATGATATTGCGGATCACGAGACTTTATCGATGTTTATGTAGATTTTACGCTTTTTTAAAAGTGTTGCCATATTACACTTGAACTAAATCAGAAAATGTGCATAATAAAAGGTAATTTTATTCCGTATTAATTTTCATTTGTTAACTCTCTATTTTCTATTACACAGCGCCAAATATTCCCGTAGCGGTGACTTTTGAAACTGATTTGTTTTTTTGTGGAATCCTTCGTCCCCCATCTTGTTTAATCTTCCTACAAAATGTGGCGTCATTCTCGCAAATAGATCGCGCTACAGAACACTGTGAGCACTGTCAGTTTAATTATGGCCACTCAGTATCTATATATATATAAATATTAGCAAGTATATATATATAATATATATAAATATATTAGCAGTATTTATATATATATATATATAATACTGCTAATGTACCAGTTTATAATTTATTAGTTTTTAAAATATTTGTATATATTTTGTATGGACATTGTCTTTCAGTTTTTCAATTCTGTTTAGTCTGAGTCTTCTTAATGTTCCATTGGAACTGGAAGGCTGAAAATTTCGAAACTTACCTAGAGTGGTTTGTTCCTTTCACATCTTCAAAATTGTCCTGAAGTAGTACATGGCAATGGCATTGAGTAGATTTGCCATTCTCTTCATATCAAGTTGATTGGGATGCTTCTGATTAGCTATGGCATAGGTTCTTGTCATTTCTTCAGAATGTCCTTGATGCCTGTAATAAGTATTGGTCCCATGGATTGTGATGTGCATCTACCGTATACCCTCACGTAATGTTCACACTTTTTTTTTACTAAAATTTCAGGTGCGGACATTATATGAGTCGTTCAAATGTTGCACTTTTTTCCGTGAGTAATTTTGGGTGTAAATTTCATTTCAAACAGCCAATTTAAGTTCTAAGTGGAAGAAAATAGCATAAGTAATAAAAGTTTCAAAGTTGTGTAATAGCTACCTAAAATTTACAAACTCTTTCTCTCATTCACATATATAATATAAATTACCCAGTTTATGTTATCAACACTCGATGCGTATTAGTTCGCACAGGAGTACAATATAGAAGCAAAAATTAACCAACACTTGCAATTAGTACCGCAGCAAGTGCTCTTATTAGGCACATTTCTCATGTTACTGCCTACCCTTGAGCACGCATATTTTTTAAATTTTTTTTTTTCCTATGTTCGGGAACTTGCATTTCGAACCGTAAAATGCACGTCTTGTTTTGTTCGTTGTTGCCAGCTGATAACGCTGTTTGCTCCAATTGCGCACACACTTTTCGTCCATCTAATATACAATTACTGCTTTTCTTTTTCCATTTTTTTGCTCAAATTCTGCGACTTTCAGTTTAAAAGCCACTGTATATCTGTTGTATTTTCCCATTTCAAGCACACTACTTGCTAACTACATGAATTCCAAATGATACTATGAATGACAAGAGAAAGCTTGAAATAAGGTGAATGCTCCAAGGAAGAAGGAGAGGGAAGTGATTTCATTACAAAATAGTATTTCCTGGAATCCAGCGTGGTGAAAATCTGTTTAGACTGCCTTCATTTATTATTATCGCGTCTGCCAATTGGATTGCTGGTGCCAATGTTATGACTGAATAACAGCTACACCAGATTGCAAGGAAAGTCTCTGCTTTCCATCCCAGCGCCAACCAAAGACAAAACAAATGCATATTCTTTAAAGATGTTTATTGACGAATGTTATTGACTAAAGGGGGAAAAAATGATGTTAAAAAATATATTTTAAAGTAAGAAATTTAGTTTTTTGGGTGCAGACATTATAAGGGTCATCTTTTTTTTTTTTTTTTTTTTTTTTTTTTTACATAAGTTTTATTTGTAAAGTTGGGGTGCAGACATTACACGAGCGTATACTTTACTACAACTTCTACAGCTGTGGAGTCTGAAAAATTGTGGAAGATATGGGGCTTATTGAGATAATAATAATAAGTAAGGTAATAGATGCAATATTAACATGTTTTAAAATATTTCCAAAGAGGTATCATAACTAACTCATTAATAGTGTTCTTTTTTCCAGAAAAGAAACCTTCCTCTGGATTTACTAATCTTCTTGTTAAGACCAGGTAATAGTTTTTTGGTGATGAGTTCATTTTGGCTCTTTCTAGCATCTTTATTGTATTCTCATCATCCATCTCTAATGCTAGCCTGACCTTGATTATAGGCAAGTCTCAAACTCTTCCATAGTGCATTGATTATCCTTTGAGTGACTTCAAACCATTCCTTCTATGTCAGTGTTCTATATCAGGTTTCAACAGTGTTATATTTGTCCTTTGAGAATTTTATGGCATATCAGATGAAAACTGGCAAACTTTAAATTACCAGCTGGATAATGCCATTGTTTAAATTTTCTTGAAGATGCTAGTTGCTTTTAGTCCAGATGAAACAAGGCAACTGTTTGAAATGAGACAAAAAATCTATCTTATGAAGATTTTAATTAAAATGCTTTTGATTTCTTGGGCAATCTGACATAAAGTCTTGTTTTTCAAGATTAAAAATTTTTGCCGTCACTTTTAAAGGCAATCTAATAAAGTTGCATATTAGCTTCATGTATGTTTATTTTCCAATCAGAGTAATTGCGTTGCAAGGCAAGTACTGAATTTTTAGAAAGTCATACTTAAAAATCCAGTTCCTCCTCCAGGTCGTTTAGTTGATCAAGAACATTGCCAAGCAATATTATAATTTCCTTAGCTAGGAGCAAGTCTTTATGTATCAGTTATTTTATTTATTTATTTATTGTTATTTTTTGTGGTGGTGGCGATTGGGGGGGGCACAGGATGCAAAGACTTGCATTTGCTATTCCCTGTTAAAAATTTCATTAATTGACTCAAGGCTTTTGAATTCAGGCTTCACCAGTCAACCTTGAAAGCCAGTCTTGATTTAATAACATTGTTACTTAAAAGCTCTGACATTCTGTAAATGATAAATTAGTAATGGGTTGGGTTTCAACTTTAAGTTTCTTTTTTTCTTTCTTTCTTTTTTCTTTTTCTTTTTCTTTTTCTTTTTTTTTTTTTTTACATTAGTTGCAAAGATGAATATTAATCAGTCTTTCATAGCCTCTGGAGGACATTTTTCTTTTCTTATTAAGTTTAATTGGGCAACTTTCTCAAGTTTGTCTGCATACAGTTCACAGCATACAGTTTTGTTATGCTCACAGTATACAGTTTTGTTATTATTTTTGATTGATGTAAGCATTTATTATGCGAGAAAGTAATGGGCAAACATTTTGAACAAAGCAGACATTTTGTGCTTGATTCTTTTTTGCATTTTCATTCAAACATATGTTATTTGTATATTAATAAATGTTGTAATAGTTGATTAATATAAATTTTATATTTGAAATATGTTTCAGCCTTTAGTCTCTGATCTGGATAATACATTTGTTCAAAATTCAAAGTGTCTGTCTGGAGGTGAAAAGAATTCTACTGCTACTGGTGGGATATCAGTTTTAGATGACTGTAATCCTTCCAACTTCCTTCAGAAGAACATTTCCACTTCTTTTGGAAGACAATTGTCCGTCCCTGGCACAACTTGCCACAGCTCATCCAGCAGTCCAAAATTAAGTGTGTCTTTTAATTATTCTGGTGTCTCACTTCCTGGAAGTCCATCACAACAGAGCTTTTCCCCCAATTTAGAAGCAATTTTCAAACCCGATAGTTTTGTGTGTAGTAGTCCAAAACAGACGAGGAAGACGAAAATCATAAGTCAGCCATCCAGTGAAGCTCATGCTTCTTCACCAATACAGAGTAATTCCTTGCCTCGATCACCCTCATTTTCTCAGTCTTCCATGAGTACAGGCTATAACAAGTCCAGAAATCAAGAAGCATTTGACTTTGACCCAGTTACTTTCACATCATCATCACTTTTTAACCATAATTATAAATCCTCAGCTGCTGATCAAGAAGAAGTAAAATTTAAATCGGCATTGGGAGTTCTACCTCAGCAAAAAGAGGCTCCTTCACCTGATCCTGTATTATCAGATAAGGATAGTTTTATAGCTCAGGTAACTAGAGACATTGCAAAAATGAGTACTGGCACAAGATTTGGAGATAATACATCTGGGAGCAAATCTTACGCAGACTCTCATTTTTCATCATTGTTCAAAAGTTGATTGTTCTTATTCTGAACCCTTCTTTTATCTGATGACTTCTCTGCCGAAGTGTAATTATTTCTCTGTAATGTAGTTTTTAACTGATACACAACAAATAATTTTGAGATCATTACCATTTGTATTGTAATAGAACTGTATTATGTGTTACATCAATTGCCAATTTTCAGTAGGTGAGTCTGTGCCGTATACATTTTATTCAATTTTATTTCATAGATGTTACAAACAATTTACTGCAAACAAGAGAGTTGTTTGTAATAACTTAGTTATTTGTTACTTTCCTTTTACAAATACCATTTCTAAGTAATTTTTATTTAAATTTGTTTTAACTTGGATTTGAATTAAGGATTTCTTCTATGGTTAAGGATATTAGTCAAACTAATTCATTTCCCTTAAGTATTTTTATATTTAAAATTTTTCATTACATTTATATACATATATATATATAATAGTAGAAATAAAACTTGGAACAAAAGAGACCTATGTGGTCAAGAATTTTGCACATTGAGCTGCAAGATTTAAAAATAATTATAAAGAAGAGAAAAGTTCAAAAGTGATTGCTTAAAAGTACATTTGATACTTTAGTTCCAAATACTTTAGTTCCAAATTCCATTTGATACTTTAGTTTACACCTTGTAAAAACAACAACAATTAAAATTGTGTAAATTTTGACTAATAGCATTTTAGCTATTTATTTTAATTTGTACAATTGCCTAACTAGTCTTTCTTGTGTATTTTTTTCATGCTTATAGTAAGTTTTGCATTTACAATTTTAAATTTCTTGCGCGTCGAGAAAAGAAGCTAAAACCATTGAGACTTACTACATTTAGATAAATTAATTTAATTTTTCTTTTAATAAATTCGTTTTCAGTCTCAATTGTTTTCGTTTTGACGAAACTCGTTAAGGTATTAGCTGGATTCGAGATTTAATTCGCTTTCCCTTGATAAGTCCAGATTAAACCTCGAGTTGGGCTAATTTACCAGTTATTGCAATTTTTTGTACATAGTTTCTGTGTATTTGAAATGATTTTTAATTTAATTTTTTGCTTGCATCATTTTAAAATTTAAATTTTGATATTAAATTTATTAGTTTTCTCTCATCCCTTTTTGATTTTGAAGTTACCTCATTTTGTAATTATTGCGTTAAGTTTTTATGCCATTACTTTTACCTCTTCAGTATTGCATTGTTGTTTTTACAAGGTGTAACTATTTTACTTTGGAACTGCAGTATCAAATGTACTTTTAAGCAATCACTTTTGAACTTTCCTTTTCTTTATAATTATATATATACACATGTGTATGTCTACAATCAGCATACACTAGATAAATAGTATTTATAGAATTCTGTATACCATTTTTGTCTCAGACAAGATTTTACATCAGAATTTTTTTTTTACAGATTAAAATCTTAATAATTGCACAATAATTCCTTTCACTTTTCCTTATATACAAATATAGATATTAATCCCTATTGTAATTTATGCAATGTTATATTGCATGCTGTATTCACAAATTGTTATTAGTTTCTTTGTTATATGATTTAAATGCATCAGAAATGAATTAAAATGTGTGCCAAACCAAAACTAGGTGATCCCAAGATCAGCTAATATTGTATGTATTATTGTTTAAATATTTCATGCATTTTAGGTATGAATTTGAAATATTATGTAACAAACATAAGCTATTTTCATACAAAGTTAAGAGTAATGTTAAAGAAAATAGTTATATATTTGCTGCGAGAACAATGTATCTTGTCCACAAAATACAAATTTTCATTTGAGAGACTCACTCTCTTCCACAATTTTCTCTCAAAAGTGGTAACTTTTATTGAAAAGATTATCTTAGTCTTTTGAAAGGGTTTGAATTGGTATATATACACCATGTCTGCAGTGGTTAAGTCCTTACTTGCCTTTTATTTTTACAACTGTTTGTAATAGACACATACTTCCAATTACTAAAATTTGATAATGAAGCAAAGATTCATATTTTTTACTTAAAATTATAAAATGTGAAATTTAACTTTCTACAAGTTTCTTCGATCCCTGTAGAAAAATTTTTCACTCATTAAAAAAAAAAAAAAAAAAAAAAAAAAAGAGAGACCAAGATATTGGATTAAAAAAAAAAAAAAAAAAAAATTGAAAATCACATTCAGGGGCCATATACAAATTGAAGGACAAAATGTTTATATTTGTATGTATCTAAAAATAAAATATCTGTTAGAAAAAGGTTTCTGATGTCAAGGGATTATGTGACAAGCATTTCTATGCATATTATTATAAACCAATTCTCAACCAGTGGAACACGTACCACTGTGGTTACTCAACAGAAAAATTGGTGGTATGCAAAGAAACAAAGTATTTTTAACTATTAAATTAAAAAATTAAATACCCAACATCCTATTTAAGTTTTCTGTCTCATACTTGTAAACTTATCCAATCTGAGCTTTGCTCAAGGTCAATAGCTGCTCATAGACTTTAGCAAAATAATCCATTTTTATTTTCACAGATATTCTTTTAGACATAGACGTAACAAAATCTGTCATAAAAGATGTGTTTAAAAGAAGTATTAGAAATGGATGTTGTATTTAGTAGGAAATAAAAATAAGTTCCTATAAAAAGATAATAGTATCTCATTAATTCTTTTAGAGTTGATCGATTTGTTAACATGTCTACACTTTATGTCACCATCATTTCTGGGCTCTTGTTGCTCTATTTTCAGTTAGAATTATTTTTTTATGTCGATTTGCTGTTTCTAAGAGCAGGTATTTTATGTTCTTGTTGCTAGAGATTTGAGAATATCATGGTTTGCTTTTGAAGAACTTGTAATATATTGTACATTTAAATATTTGTGAAAAAAATAATGAAACAAACCTAGATTCTCAAAATGAAAAAATGGCTAGGATTGGCTAAGCGGAAGGGTGATAATTCACAGGTGATGGATCCAGGACAATCTACTAGCACTGAGAATATTGAAAAGAAAAGAAAAAATTTTTATAGAAAATATAATGAAAGTTATTTATCATTTGGGTTTACTTGGAATGGAGATGAAATTGACCCTCAACCTCAATGTGTTGTTTGCAGTGAACTATTTTGGACTCAAAGTATAAACCATCGTTTCTTAAAAGACTTATAAGCATGCCAGTAAATCTGAAGAATAAAAGAGGAAATTATCGAAGTTCAAAAATAGTAAACAAGCTATGAAAGGTTTTTGTTACTTCAGGTGAAAAAGCTTTGTAAGCTAGTGATCTAGTAAGCCTAAGAATTGCCAAGACTAGGCAGGCTCACACTATTGGGGGGGGGTGGAACTTATATTACCAGCAAGTAAACATATTGTTTTAATATTATTCAATGGAAAGGGGGCTAATGAACTTAAATAATATTTCATTACCAAATGTTACAGTCAAGTCGATGAATTCATGAAATGGCGAAATCCATAAAAGAGACACTTACTCAAAAAATAAAACTCAGTAAGTATTACACATTGCAATTGGACGAAAGTACTGATATAACAAACTTTGTTCAATTATTAGCTGACATATGGTTCAAAGATAAACAAATTGTTGGAGAGTATTTATTCTGTGAATCTGTTCGTGATAGAGCAACTGCAATTGATGTTTTTAAAGTAATTTGCAATTTTATATCTAAGATAGATATTGCTTGGAATAAATGCATTGTCATATGCAGTGACAGAGGTCAGGTTTTAAAAGAAAAACATTATGGTGTTATTTCTCAAATAAAGATAATTGCACATGGAACTAAATTTACTCATTGGTCCATTCTGTGTGAAATTTTAGTAGTCAAAACAATCCCAGAAAACCTGAAAATCATTTTGAATCAAACTGTGAAAATTGTTAATTTTATTAAAAGCCAAGCTTTAAATTTAAGAATATTTATGATTTTATGCCAAGAGATGCACAGTGAACATGGAAGGTGTTTGTTATGTTCTGAAGTGAAGTGGTTATGTAGAGGCAAAGTTTTAAATCGCCTTATTGACTTTCGATCATAAATTCAAATTTTCTTCTGTGTTTCGAAATTTAAATTGCAAAAATGTTTATTCAGTAAATAATGATTGGCGTGTTTACCATATTTAGTTGATATTTTTGGAACATTAAGTGAATTAAATTTAGGATTACAAGGATAAAGTGTTAATTTGTTTGCCATTAGAGGTAAAATTAATGCAATGATAATAAAACTCAAACTAATAATCAGAGAATTGGATTTTAATATTTTAAGCCTTTTGCCACTTTATTTTGTTTACTATCCGAAAATAATTTGAAAATAGAAAAATTAGCATCTGACATTAAAAACCATTGCTTTAAATTGAAAAATCATACCTGATGCCGTGACAGTAGCATGCGACAACTGAGACATGCATTTTCTTCAACATTATTGCTTTCACATTATTGTCTCAGGACATCTCGAGCTATTGAAATGACTGGGATTTGTAAATGCGCAAGGCTCTCTCCTGAATTTGCACGAGAAATTTCTTTCTCAGTTAAGAAGTATTCTATCATATGTCAGGAAAGATATGCACTTCCACACGCCGCTGCACACAGCATGTGGCTTTCCCAGCCTAGGAGCCTGTTGAACGTGTCTCGCACCTGAGCCTTCAACATGTATTTTCTCAAGGGTTATGAAAAAGAAAATTGGATTATAAATTCATTTTGTTCAAATATACCTGGAATTTTATCTCATAAAGAAAAAGGATTAGGATTATTCAGTTATGGCAAAGCACACGAGGGCTATCTGCCTAAACGGAGGGATGCCTTCATGGAGCACTTTATAAGGGAAACTGGCTTGGATACACGTTACACTTGGGGAAAACCACAAAAACGCCCATGCAGCCAGCTCGTTCGCGGAATTTGAACCTCAGACCGAAATACCAGTGTTCAGCATCTTTGCCGCTCGACCGCTGATGGGCTCCAATTGAAAAGAACAATTGATAGAAATTTCCTGTAATCACATTCTAGTTGAAGATTTCAAAAATAACATACTTGTTAACTTTTAGCTGAACTGAAGAAAAGAATTTAAAGGCATTTCAAATAACGCTATTTGCGTGAACAAGGATTTCCTTCCGTCTTATATTTAAAAATAAATACAGAACAAAATTAAAAGTGGATCCTAATTTGCATTAAAACTAAGTGAGGCCCAATTCTATCACTAATCACAAAACCGTATCATTGAATGGCATTTAAGGAGGGGGACTCGACTGTGATTAATTTTCATTTATTTACTAACCCACTCCTCAATGAAAATTTAATATAATGTTGAAAATCGAAATTAAATACCTTAATCAATTTGTGTCATACAATAATCAAACTTTTTCCTTTTATTTTTTATAATAAGTATAAAATTTTCTTTAATATAGGCATACAAACTGGAGGAATGTATAAAAATGTTGATTTTGTAATATTTACAAAATTAATGTCTTAAAATTTAAAAATGCCAGAACATGAATCAATTTTTGTGCCATCTAGAACATTTTATAACTTAACCCTTTTGGTTCTAATGGGCACATGTGTCCCAGAAATTAAATTTCATGCCCTATTGGGTTAATAAAACCCACTTTGAAATGTTTTTATACATTTGCAGTGTTTTTAAGGAATTAGGGAAAATATACAACTAAAGAAACCTGGCAATACTTTAGATTGCAGATGGCGCACTTATGTTTTTGATCATGCTGATTACTGAAGTTTCGATTTGCTTATTTTTTATTTTTTTTTATTATTTATTTATTTTATTTTATTTTATTTTTACAGTAAGTACAGTTATATTATTTAAGGCATACTTAGTGTGAAATCATTCTTATTTTTCTTATTAAGTAGTAATTTAACATTTCTAATGTCAGATTTAAGAAATTTGGAATAAATTCTTTTTGTGGGATATATTGTCCCACTCGTATTTAACAGTGAGTTACTATGTCCCATCAGTGATCAAATTACTACATGCTGATATATTAGGTGTGTGTTTATGAAAGATATATGAAAATTTTTCTTGTATATGAAGTAATGCATGTGACAGATTTTATGTTTTGTAATATTCACATTATATATTACCATAAATTTTAGATTTGTTGTCTGAGAAAAAGGATTGATAAGATAATTATTTCTGAGAAAGGAATGATATCCTAGACAATTGGGACAAATAGTCCCAGTTGACAATACGATTGGGACATATTGTCCCAGGAGATTTCCAGGAAACGAGAAAAGTTAAAACTTAGACTCGTACTACACTTCTTTTAGTATGTCAACATTAAATTAAACTACTTTTCATAGTTAAAATTTAATCATGTAAAATTCGGGTTGAAAGGGTTAAAGTTAAGAACTAATGTCTGTGAAAATAAAAGCTGGAAAGGACTTTTGTGTGAAGTGTATATACATTCATATGTACAAGATAAATAAAAAGGTTCTTGTGAAATTCCTAAAATAAATTCTTTTTTAGTCAAAAGTATTTGAGCTATTAACTGCTTATGAATTGATTATTTACAGTAATGATTGCTGAATTATGGTTCAAAATTTATCTGGTAACAATTTCAGAAAAATGGCCCTTAAGATTAATTCAATTGTTTTTCTCCCTAAGAAAAAGTTTGGCTGAATCAATGTTATGTTCATCCTATATTTTCGGGTTTATGCATTTGCTTCTAAATTATTAGCAACTTTTATTCTACTTTATTTTTTACAGTTAATTAAATTTACTGTTTTAAATGTGTATTGCAATATTTGTTTACGGGGTTAATTACGAGAAATTCAAAAGCTATTCTTAATATTTTTATACACACATATGTATATATGAACCATGTTGCCATAACAGTCAGTAATATTTAATAACATTAACACGTAACTGTTTAACTGCCAACGTGCTTCAGTTGTTTTACTTAAAATGAAGTTTAGATTGTATGTAAATTCCTACACAGTATTATATTATTATTGTAAATTCTGTGATCTTTGTGTATTAGGAATATGTGTAGTGTATGTATCTTTATTACAAGAGTAAATATATGGTGCTGTGTATAATCTCAATTATTAAAAATGTTGTTGTTTGAATCTCATTTATGGCTAATGTTATCTCTTTTATTCTATATTTTATACATTTTTAAGTGACATTTTAAAAATTCATTTGAACTGATTTATTAACAAAAATAGATAGGATTGTGGTCATAGTTTGTTTGTGCCTTGCAGCAGATTTTTGTATTGCAAAACACTGCAACAATTGCATGTTTGATTTTGTATCAGGATAGATACTTTTTTTACTTAATTGAAGAAACATGCTGAGAAATAAAAACTGAAATCAATTAATCTTTTAACAATTTTGAAAATAGATTAATTCATATTTAATAATCCTTCATTATTTTCATATTTTTAGCCCAAAAAAATATTTTTCCTCCTGAAGAAATTGAAAGTTGTTTTAAGATGTATTGAATTTGTTTTTCTGAGAATGGAAAGAAATATGCATGACTTAATCTTAGAGTTTACATCTATTATGTTATATTCATTGTAATAACAATAGTGTATTTCTAAGTTTTTTTTTTAAAGGTTGCTTAATTCTTAAACTGATTTTAAGAGAAGAAAATCATTTGACTGTAAACAATAATGTGAAAGAAGTGTTACTTTTCTGTTAACTGGGCATTACTAAGAACCAAACATTAATGTTGACTTGAAATCTTAGGTGACAACAATCCTAAGCTTCATTAAAAGAATAACTATTTTAAATGTGTGTAATGTCAAATTTGTGCAATTCTCTCAAATTTTTTAAGCGAAAATATATTGCTGTATACAATAAGAAGAATGAAACTGTTGTTCTCTCAATGTACACAGCAGTTTTTTTTTTCTGATTGTATGAGTTCAGCAATGTGCATATTAAACATTATATATGTGTAGGATAGTTCCAAAGTAGTAGGAATTTAGATATGATTTTGTTATTTCATCAGTTTTCATCATTATTATAGTGTAGTTTTCAATTTAATCTCCATGTAATTGAATTCATTTATTCCAATGAACAGTAAATTGTTTAAAACAGCCTCAAAGAATGTTTTTGGTGTGGACTCTTTTCTTATGTCATGGTTAAACTCTCAAATCATATAAGTCGTAAAGCCGTTGAAAAAAAAAGTTTTTTTTTTCAACGGAATGCACCTCACAAATGTTGAATAAAAAGTTTTTACACCCTCTATCAACAAAAAGAAAATTATTGCTTTTCCCATCTTCCGTGGTTGCAAAAACAGTGCTACAAAAATATGCCTGTATCGGTGAACCAACTGAATCAGGCAAACAAAATTGGACGGAATAGCTGCATAAACATTTTAAGACTTGTGTCTAGCCAATAGTGTTGCCTATTAAATCTGGGATTGTTCATTTCTTAGAACTCTGGAAACATTCCACTTATTATCATTGCACAGCTATTCATGATATGATATCAACAGGCTAACATTTGGTGCTTTGTTGCACATTTGACAACTGGCACCCCATTAACAGAAAAGTACCAAATAAATATTCACGCTTAAATTATTATTATTTAATTATATTGTAGTTAAAATCATTTTGTTAAATAAATTAATATTAAGCTTAAAAATAAAAATGCTAATCCTCATAATCTAAATTTAGAGGAATAAGATTAAGATTAAAAGATTTTTCTGTGATATTTCACATTATGTAACATTCTGTGAAATGTAGAAAATTTTCATTCTGTGTCACATATTAAAAGCACTTTTATATTAATAATAAGTATATACATTTTTTTGTGATAACTCTAGTAGCTAAAAAATATAAGACTGTCTGACAGCTTTAAATTAGCCAAAATTATTAGGGATGTATTTGCCTTTACTACATATTATCAGACTGAAACCATCTTAAATCCATTGTTATTTACATTTGATTTTATTATTATAAATACAAATTTAGATTTGAGATTTTGTTTGAATTAAAATACAAGAAATAATACAAAATATAATACTTATGTTTACACAAAGATTATCAGGTGTATAATTTGAATACTCAAAAGATAATTATGCTTCTTTTTTGCTTAACTTGGCAAACCAGTAATTTTATAATTTATTTCATTAGATTTCATTACTTTTAGCATTTGAAAACATCTCTAAAGAGTGGAACTATTACGTCCTTTGTGAAAAAAAATTACTACAAAATGAATTTTCATTAATTTAAGTATGTTGAAAGTTATTTAATTGGAGTGAAATATCATATAGATAATTTAATTTATGAAACCCTGTTCCAAGAAATTTATTAATAGAATTAGCCTTTTTTTTTCCTTGACTCGTGGGAAATTTATAGAATCTTGAATCTTGTTGTTAATGCCTTGTTTTAGTGAAAATAGACCTAGAATTAAACTATCATTGACATTTCCCATTTGTCATTGTTCAGCTGAACATGAATGGATCGTTAAATATTACAGTGTTTCAAAACTGTAAGTTTTCATGTTCCAGTTAAGATGTACTGTAACTAACCATTCTGCTTTAAAAAATTTTTTTCAATGTTCAGTGTTTTGTATTTGATTTTAATTATGTTGTGGCAGATAGGAAAAAAATGAGAAATTTTAATTATCAAATTGTAATTGCATCTGGAAATAATTCAGTTTAAAATACAAAATTATCTAAAGAAGCAATTTCCCTTAAGTATTTAAATTTTACTATAATTTTGTATAACATAGGCTTCCTGTAAATGCATAATTCCAGAGAAATCACTAGTATTTAATTATGAATAAAGTAGCCTTTGTGGATAAAAATGTAAAATATGGCATGAGTTGGAGAGTTTTTAATTTTACATTTAGGAAAATGTGTAAATTATTTCTTTTGTTAAAGGTCTATGAAAGTGTGACATTCAGTTTACCTTAAAAAAATTCAAAATTCCATGTTAGGGATTTTTCACTTAACGTTTACTGGTATTTTGTGGATTGGGCTTAGCAACAAAAGTCTTATTAGGTCTTCTATTCCAAATAAAGAACAAATTTCTGCTGAAGAAAAATAAATTCAACTATTTTTTTAGCATTCTCTCCACTGTTCATTTGCTGCATTTTGTCAATAGGCAATTAAGAATATAAAATTATTGGTTCAGAAGATATCCTGAAATAAATGAAACTTAGGGACGAGTTAAATCTTTGTGGGAAAGTGCATCAAAAATAATTTTCCTCTTACTCCTCTTCTAGTTTGTCTAATGCGAAAAGCTTTATGAATTTTTTTATACAGATAAATTTCCAGAAAATTATATGCTTGTGTTATATGGTACAAAGTCTGATATCCAGATTCAATGGGACTTTGGAAGTTCTATATTTTGGCATTTTCCGAATTTTAGATAATCAGTTTAAATATAGTAGCATGAGATTTATAAAATAAAAAATATGAAATAATGAAACATTTATGACCTAAAAGTAATCAAAATTTACCCCCCAAAAAACTATATTTATTTATTTGTTTTATTAAATGTTTCTTTCAATGTAAGTTACTTTTTGTATGTGTGTTTGTGTTAATACTGTCTCTTTTAATTTGATAAATAAATATAATTTCTTATTTAGTTACTAAATTTCATTGTTTAATAATCCTGTAATTGCCATGTCAAGAATTTCCACTAAATTGCCAATCAACATATTTTTTATTATCAGCAACATTTTGTCACTTTCTTCACTATTGGTAGTGATATTTGCTGGCTTTAGAAGGAAAATACAGATTTTTCTTTTGTTAGTTGATTGGAGCATTTTCATTGCGGTGGAAAACTTATGGTACATCATCTTAATTTATTACTTTTTTATGTTTCTCACAAATTCTATTAATTGGAAAATTTTGCTTTTTGTTTGCGATATATAAAAGCCTTCAGATTCGGCCTATTACAATCATACAACTTTATCACTAGTGTTTGCTGTACACTGTTGATGATGTATCACAATACCAGTGACTAGAGTCATGCTGTTCCACTAAATTTTTGTCTTGTTTCTAATGTTTGCTAAGTTAAATCAGAGGTGTTGAGGATGTATTATGAGACCAGTGACTATAGACATGCTTTTCCATTAAATTTTTTTTTTTTTTTCTCTTTCTTGTTTCTAATGTGTGCTAAGAAAGTTAAGCCTGAATTATTTTAATTAAATTGTATATTATACTTACATCTGTTTCCCGCATATGTTAGTCTATCTAAGTCCTGAAAAATAAATTCCCACATATACTTAAAGCTTATCTGAATAGCAAATCACTTATTAATAATTCAAACAACACTAAATGTAATCTTTTGACTATGCATGCCGTCGACAAAATCTATTTTTTTCCATATGGAAAGAAATATCTGTTTAATTTCTCTTCTTCAACATTGCAGTACAATTGGCTGGAGTCTGTTATCATTGTTAAGCATATTTTCAGCATAAAAGGTTATACCATGCTGGTTGGTATTTAGTTATAAATATTTTTTAAATAAATGTTTTAGATATTGCTCTGCATTACTCATTTTCGAGCTACCATGAGTTGATAGTTACATGCTGATGGTAGCAAGAACTGCATCTTTAGGTGGGTGTTAAGCATTATAAGTTATTCAGCAAGTATAAAATCGCAATAAACTTTGGTAGAGTTTTTTAGCTTGAGATGCATGCTAATTAAAAAGCCAGATACAGAGGAAATTATTGATCATGCAGATATATGCTAGTAAATGATTCTGTTTCCTCAACATGGAGAAATTTTATTTAGTGCCAAAGCAAAATAAAGATTCCTTCTACATGCTTTTTTATAGAAAAAAATGTTTGTTGTGCATAAGTGAAGCTTTAAGTATATGCTAAAGTGAGACTATGTTATCTAAATCTAACTCTTTGTCCCTTTTCACAAAAATAAAATTTTTAAAAAAAGTGATGGTAGTCCAGGTATTGGGCATCTGGATTATGGATTTTGTACTGTACATTTAAATAGATTTTCATTGTCTTCAGGTATTCTGAACTGGTATGCAATTTTACGTGATATGAAAAAGTTGTGGGATATTGCATTTGATATTTCTATTTTGGCATTAGGACAAGTTTACACCATTCTAAAAATGCACATTTAAAAAAATAAACTCTTTTTAAGCATTAATACAGTGCCATTTTGTTTTGTGAAAAATTAATATCGTTAATTCACAGGAAAAGTTTTGCCATAGTCTTTTTGTGTTATTTTGCTGTTTTTAGTTGTTTTCATGAAGTAGGTTAATCAAAAAAATGTAGAGTTGCATGAAATATATGTAGTTATTTTCTTTGTATCCATTTTTCACAAGTGTTTAATTCAGAATTATTTAAAATTTGTGTTTGATAAGACTAGTACTTACCTCATACATATAATCCTGCTGTGCAGTATTTTACTGGAACAACTTTTGCATACTTTAATTTTGTCTGAATGTTCCTGTGTCTTTAGATGTAGTGAAAATCACTGAAGAGTTATTGTGGCCTATTAATTTTTTTGTTTAATTTTAATGAATTTCTAATTTTAAAAATGAATAGGTCCTTGAAAAAACAAATTCTGATTTTATAGCATTCCTTTGTACAAAAGATATGTTTATCAAGTTTTTTTTTTTTTTTTTTTTAAGTCTTGCAAATTGTTTTATCTAAAAACAACAACAACAAAAAATCAAAAATATTGGTTTTAACTTTGTTTTTAACATATATTTGTGGTAGTGAGCTTTTCATTGTGGTAGAAATCTCATTGTTCACTCAAAACAAAATTTATATACATTTTGTTTCATATTTTTGTTGTTTTTATAATATACTCTTCTAGTTTTAGTTTGTTACAGAATTTACCTATAGATTTCAAACTGTATTTTTACTTTTATCTCTTCAAATTATTTTGAGCTATATAATAAAAAATGGAAACTATATGTTTTTATGTGCCATTATAAGTGAATTTATATTTTGTCTAAATGTAAGAAATGAAATTCATGTATTATATTCATGAGTATTCTTTGTCATAATTACTTTGAATTATAACCATACTTTTACTGTCTGTAATTATATAATGCAAGATTATTTTAATATTTAACTACCGTGATTGTATATGGGTTTTAAGATGTATTAATCATATAACTTTAGCCTCATCAATATTTAACTATCATAAAAATTTTTATATTTTTTATTTTCCTCATAAGTTGAACGCGGGTTTTAAAAAATGCACTTGCTTGATACAGTTGATTAGTTAAATCATTATTTCAAAATGTTTTATTCTAATTTTATTGTGGTTTACTAGTTGACTAATTTCAATATTTAGGTTATTGGTTTGCTATGTGAAATCTTTCAAAAATTTACTTTAATTAAAAGAATTTAATATAACTGGCTGATCTTTTCAAATTAATAAATATCATATATTTTCGTATTTCTATGTACAATAAATCTTTATTAATGACAATTTTAGACTTTTAAAGAAAAATTCTTGGTTCCTACAAAAATCAAAAATGTTTCTTGATATGTTAACACTGTTTGCATTTAAAAATGTTGAAAAGATTTAAATGTTGGATTGTTTATATTAGCATAACTAATATTATATTTATGATTATTGTATAAAATATTTTAAAACTATTGATTTGTTTTTTGTTAATTAATGAACTACACTAGCTAAAAATTAAAAATAATTATATGGAGATTAAAATTTTCATGTGGTTTGTTTACATGCTGTGCCAAAAACTTTCTTCTTTGAATATATATCAGTTATTGTTAAAAAATGTTTTGCTAAACTGAATAAATGTTGACAACTTATCATCTATCTATCTGTATCAGTTAACTCTTATTTGGCGTTTCACATTATTATTACAAGCTTTTTGTTAAATATGTGTCTAATTTGCAAGTCCTTGATTTTGTTTGCTTACCTATTACAAGAAAAACATGTTTTGTGTGTAAGTTAATATCTCTATTCTTTAGAATGAGGGTCTCATATGGTTTCATTTAAATTTATTCTGACATATTTTAAATAACTTAAAATTTAAGCAGGTGTTAGAAAATGACATTTATTTTTTATAAATTTATTGTTAGGTATCAAATTGGCGCAACATCAAGTGAGGGAATGAAGTTCCCTTGTTTAGTTTTTCATTAAAGATGTCTTAGAACCTCGATTATGTGATGGATTAAATGATGTGAAAAAGAAAGTAATGTGTGGCAGCTTCTGACATACATTGAATAACTTATGAGATATGATATTCCATCATAAATGAAGGCTAGAAACTTTTGTACTTATTTGACAAATTATTATTTTTTCACTCAGTTGTTTGTACACAAGCCTTGCAATAGATATTATGTAAAAGCGATTTCTGTTTTGTTTGGAGACAAAATAAGAATAGTAAAAATAATAGTAATAATTTGAAGAAAGTGTATCTGATGTCTGAAAAATTCATATATCTGTATCTTGCATTTTCAAAACTTCAAACTGCAATCAAAAATTTCAAAGAAGAGTTTACTATTGATATTTTTAATAAAAATGTATAAATATTTTGGTTAGCTTATAAATAAAAATATCATATAATGTTGTCAACTCTTGAACAAAATCTTCACAGTTGGTGAATCAATTAAAATCCAACTTAAAAACAATTTCAGTTTTAAAAATGTGACATTCGTTTTGTCATTCTTTAATTCAGCATTAAATTTAAAGAGAAGAATATCAAAATGTTAAAAGTAGTATATTAGCCTTTAAATAAAATAATTAGATGCACTGTATAAAGTAAAGCTTTCTGTTTTATCTTGTGGCAAATTTTTTTTTTTTTTTTTAATTTCGAGAAATAGAAATTTACCATTTGACATACACTGTGCCCTCATGCAGCCTTTTACTTTCACAACCTTTAGGCATAAACATATATTTCTAATTTAAAAAAAAAATAACGACACAACTATTAATGTTTTGTCACTTTCTAATTTAAAAACTCAAATTTGGATAAAATACAGAAAGTTTGACTCGTACAACAAAAAATTGGACGAGATATTTCACTTTTAATGTTTGAGGTCATATTCAGAAGTCGTACACAGTTTGCATCTGTACATAACTAAAAATGAAAAATGAGCTTAGAAAATGTTTTTTGGTGTTAATAGACTATCTAAACAACTTTGCTATACAGACTGCCATAAAAAGTATTGATCAGTGACAATTTTTTAAAAGGACATCTTATTGACGAAATCTTACAGCTGTTGTGTTCTAGAAAATAATGGCACGCTTCTATATTGGTGTGGGCGACTGTGTGTTACTACTGTGTTAAGTGGCAGCAGGTAGGGCATCTGACTCCTTATTATGGATTGATACATTTCTGAGGTTGCATAATTCTTCCTGCATTTTAAACTCAAAACATATCTATTACAATTGTGAGAAGCTCTTTACAAATATATATGTAATTCATGAATAGTATGCAACAATTATTAAAGTGAGTTATAGTCCTTGAGAGGGTCTCTCTGGTCGAGAGTTTAAAAGCATTCTAAGTCTCTCTAGTCGAAAGTTCAAGAGCCTTCTGACGTTTTGTTTTGAGGAAAAAAACTTCAGCCTGAATTAGTCACCCCTTCCTTAATTTTACAGTAGTATTTTACATCCTCTGATTCATTATATCTGGAATGTAATCAGAGGAGAAACAAAATTATTGGTTCGTCAGCCCTCCTGAAATCGAGAAGCTTTAACAATAGACACTGTGCAGAACGCTAAAATCTCTTCACACTAGTTATGAAGTTATGTCTCTTGAACTGGAACGAATTATTGCGTTTGGGATGCCAGAAACATGCCATGTGACCAGAGGCGTGCCTACATATGTTTTCACCTGAGGCAAAGCGGTAAATGTGTGCCCCTTGTATACAATGCAAGATTATTTATTTACCTATTTGTGAGGGGGAGAATAAATAAATAATACTAAATGATGCTTGAAAAAACATTGTACAATATTAATTGTTTAAAAGTTTTGGTTTTTACATGTATTAAATTCTTTGTTGCATTTATTAGATTGTTTGAAATTTATTAATTATGAATTAGAGTTTTCGTCGTTGGGAAACATTAGCTCTAAACTTTTTACTTTATATATATATATATGCATTGTTGCATATAGATATATACATATAATCCTGCATATAGAACAAATTAACTATATTTATATAAATTTTATGCTCTTTAAAAGTAACTATTTCTGGTGAAAATACCATAACTCTTACAGTAATAAAGTCTTTAATCCGGACTCGTCGAAACTTCAGCGATTCCGGATTATCGATTTTTCCAGACTATAGATCATCAGTTTAAATCTGGTAAGATGGCATGCAGAAAGCATAAAATAAAAAGTATGAAACCGTAATTAATGAAATAAAGAGCAATTATGATCTAAAAGATATCAAAATTTACAAAAAAAGCTTAATATTTATTTGTTTACTTTATTTAACATTTATTTAAATGCGCGCATGCGTAAAGCATACATTACGCATAGTCGAAATTAGAAAATTGCAACCAGAAAACTATTTGATATGTATTCGTGATATTTACACTGACTACCAATAAGTATTTGGACACCTAAGCAAATGACGATATCTGCGGTTCCTAAGGTACGTCACGGGACTCTGCCGGATATATCGTAAGGAAACAGCATCGGCTTTAGTCGCATGCAAGATGCTCGCAATTCGGAGCTCTCGATTCGAGAACGGTATAATTATCGGGTATCACAAATGTGGCCGATCCTTAAGGGACATATCTATCGATCTGAACTACCCAAAATTGACAGTGGCCTATGTGATTAAGAAGTGGAAGGTGTTGGGTAATTGTCGGAATGTACCCCGAGTCGGCAGACCAACGAAACTGGGGGATGGAGACCGACGAGTGCTGTCAGAGAAATTCGGAAGAACCGCACCCAACCGAGGGCCCTCATCCGCGAGGAGTTTCAACAGTCATCGGGAGTATTGTTTCAATAAATACCATCTGTAACGAAGCACATCTGCTTGGTTTTCATGGTCGTGCTTCTGCCCATAAGCCTTTGATCACAAAGTCCAACCGCGCTGCTCGGTAATGTGGTGCAAAGCATCGAAATTGGACCGTAGATCAGTGGAAACGGGTTCTTTTTGGAGTGACGAATCAAGCTTCACCTTTACCGTCGGATGGCAGGGTCTGGGTCTGACGTCTACCTGGAGAACGTCTCTGCCAGAATGCATTGTGCCACAGTCAAGTTCGGCGGAGGTGGAATTATGGTTGGGGGTGTTTCTCTGGTATGGCTGGGCCGTGGTCCCATTCATGGTAAGCTCAACTCCGATGCCTACTGCATATTTTAGATGGCAAGTGTTTCCTACGATGTGGTAGTTTACGGGTTGGAACCCTGTTACTTTCAGGACGACATGTTGTCATGTTTTGACTTAACCAGGCTTGGTATGGTGCCAATGGAGTTCATCGAAGGGACTGGCCTGCCCAGAGTCCAGACTGAACCCTATCGAGAACCTTGGGACGAGTTGCATCGCCGAATTCAGGGGTGCACTACCCGTGCAAATCGGTGAAAGAACTTCTATGTTTCTCCAAGCCGAGTAGAAGAAAATACCACTAGCTGTCATACAAAGATTGGGAAAGTATGCTCCGGAGGGTCACGCTGTAATTACCTCTCGTGGAGGCTTACCAACTATGTTTTGAAATAAAGTTTTTTCTTTTCTATCACAGATGTCCAAAACTTATTGATCGTCAGTGGTATAATGACGAGGAATTTGATTTAATCATATCAAAGCCGGAGTACCATCGAGAGAAATATACATTTTAGTAAGGAATTATTAAGCCGAATAAAATAAAAACATCTGCCCTGAAATAAGGATAGTGCTGAAGGTCACTTCCAGTTCATTGCACGACACCCCTGCCCCCCCCAGAGCAGCGTGAAATGATAACAAATTTCGGATGGTTAGAGAAACAAAGGAGCCTTATCCATTTTTTGCCAGCAATTCCACTTTTCTTTGATGGACATCGAAACAGCTTCCCTTTGTAGATAGATCCTTTGGCAGCTCCAGCTCGGAAATTCTAGTGAATAATCAAAAGTTCCAACTTATTTTATAAAAATTGCTTAACAGTCTGCAAAAAATATAAGCCGGATCCAATTCGAAGATAAAGGAACAACGCAATCTGCAACATTAACTGAAATAGTAATTAGATAATTTTAGTTAGCTAACTGTTCGGATACATTAAACGCGCATGCGTAAACGTATTATGCGCATGCGCAGAAAGTTTGTAGCTTTGAGGTCCAGATTATAGATTATTCCGGATTATGGACGTCCGGATTAAAGACCTTTGACTGTACTAAAATATATAAACTAAAGAAGGATTAAAAAGCCTAAATAAAGAAGTTTATTAACAAAAAACAACAATGAGTTAAAATAAAATTTTAGTAACTCAATATATTATTCATTAGTATATCCATTAGTGTCTAGTGTTTTTATCACTAGTGTGAATTTTTGTTATTTTTAACAGTATTGAAAAATTCACTTCAATTTAATTGGCTGTTAATTTTGAAGATTAGTAAAGTTTTACTGTTGATTCAACCAGTTTATCTCTTTCTTCAAACAATTTTTTTTATGATGCTCATAATTGACAATATTCTTTTGATTGCTGCCAGCGTGTCTCGCATGCTTGAAAATGCGAGACACACTGGCAGCAATCAAAATTTATTCTATCATTTAAATGGCACTGTGCAGTGTAATGTGTTTTCTTTGAAATGACTGAAGTTTTGTATCCATTTTATTTGAAAATTTTTTCAATTTCATTGACAATATCAGTTGTTTTTGTACTA